CACTACATATGTCATATATCTGCTCACCGAGGTAGACTGCTCCAAGTTCATGGTATCGCCGCCCAATCTGACATTTCGACATCCAGGTCTGCCTGGGGCAGAAGGGCAATGCATGCAGTGCTCCACATGTCGTGCACGTGTGGCGACACACATGGAGTATAGAGCGAGAGAGAGAGAGAGAGGGAGGGAGGAAGAGAAAGACAGAGAGCGAGAGAGTGAGAGAGAGAGAGCGGGAAAGAGGAAAGAAACTGAGGGAGAGAGAGTGACGAGGGAGTAGGAGAAAAAAGAAAGCCTGACCAAAACCAACAGTAGGAACGAGCGACTCGAGAACTTGTCGATCAAGGATGCTTCTAACATTCCAGGGCCGTAGGGCTCGTCACTGGCGTACAGGATCATCATGTCAGTCCATCCATCAGCAGCGTGAACATATCCATACAATGCATTCGTCCATCTCCAAATCGCGTTGTGTGTGAACCCTATCTTAAAGATGAGTGGCTCCTTTTCACGAAACAACTCTTCCAGCTGCCTCGTGCAGTGCTGCAGGACCTTTCCGGGTGTGGCTCCAGCAACTGGAAGCTTGTATGCAATGCATGCAACAGCCTGGCAGTCAGCTGTGCACACGGGAACAGGCACAGCTTCGGTTTGATTCTCAGCCTGATCTGTCAACTTGACTGGTGAAACGGTCGCTTCGAGTTGACCTGTCATTTGCTTCATGTAGTTGCATATCAGCGTAGCATGTTTTCGATCTTCTGCGCTATGCTTGGCCTTTGCTGCTTCAGTCGCTCCCTTGGACCAGGGAAACGGCCCCTGAGCTTCCTGAGTGAACCCGAGCAAGCTCAACTTCAATTAGTATCGACGGAGTCACGGGACCATTAAGTTGCGGCCAAGAGCACCGAACGATGACAAGTCAACAGGTCTAGCAGCTCATCGTCGGAGTCAGCAAGGGGGGCGAGGTTTGCATCTCCCATCCAAGGACAGTTCAACTGTATATACATAATACCAGCATCTTTTTGGATGGTTTGTGCCAAAAACATATGAAATTGCGAACAACCCCAGGCTATATGTTGTGCTAGAAAGTAGCTGAATTCGGAAACCCCTGATGCTCTAGTCCATTGTTTTGAGCCCATAGTTCTGCCTGTGGCAAAAGACTGCCCACATTGATACTCCAAACACTCGATCAACATGCTAAGAGAACTGTCGGAATCCTTCCATTGCTCCATGTGATGACTCAGGATCCGGCTCCACTGCCGACTGCGCTTGCCAAGCCTCGGAGAGCTTTGCCAGGCTTGACACCTGGCATGTCGAATGGGTTTAGGGTTTATATAGGGTATATATAGGGTTTAGGGAAGGCCCATACTCCAGGTAGATGTCGTCCCACATTCAAGAGCGAAAGCAACGATTGCTCTTTTTTCGCACAGCTGCAGAGCCTAAATGTAGCCCCCATGGACAGGACTTTGCAGTCTGAAACCCCGGTGCTGAAACTCTTCTGTTGCCCGGCAGCATCCATGCGATACTATATTAGACAGCCAAGTCTTTGAACCCGGCAGCTAGTTTGTATACCCTGGTGGGAGGAGAGAGAGAGCGAGAGAGTGAGAGGGGAAGGAAAGGCAGGCTGCTAAACAAGGAGGACAGTATGCAAATAAACCAAGCAGGAACAATTAAAACTGAGTATACAAACAAAAACGTTCGTTGCCAGAATATAGCTAACAAAGACAAAGGAAGAAGTAGAAGTTCAAGGAACATGAGTGATTAAGCGTCTCTTTGAGGGTGAGGCTCTAGAACACAACGGTTTAGGGTTTAGGGTTTGGGGTTTAGGGTTTATAGGGTTTAGTATATAGTGTGGATGAAAGCACCCGTAGTGCGAGATCCTATGCTTGCTCGACATTTGCTGCGCAACAACAGACCTGTACCGAATTTGCAGCTCCCCGGCCATCGGCCCTCTAAAGAGCACAGGCTCTACTTCTTCTTTGCCACCTTCTTGGCGGCCACGCTTTTCGGGGCGGCCTTGCCGCTGGGCTTGCCGCTTGGGGCTGTCGGCTTCGCTGACTGCTTGTCGAAGAAGGGCTTGCAATGTTTCCTGGGATTTCTGGGTATTTGTGTTGCCTTCAGGGTTGGAGTTGGTAGGTTAGCAATATATTAGTTAAGTTTATATAGGTTGCAAGGTTGCTATCGTGATCGGATAGCAGTACGGCCAAGGCAGGATTTGCTAACTCTTTCTGATTCAAAAAAGGCAAGTGTTCTTTAAATCGGGACCTAACCCCCCCTATATATATATATGAACCCTGTATATTTGTTATTATACATATATAGACATATATAAACCCATACCGGCTAAACCCTATATCTAAACCCTATATATATATACACACATACATATAACCCTAACAGGATTCCGGATTTGCAACGGGTTTGGGAAGCACCTGAAGCTTCACAGCCCTCAAAAATAGGGAAACTCCAAGCCTGAAGCCCTATATAGAATTTAAATGCATGTGCCAATGTTCCATGAGGCAAGGACACCTGTAATGATATAGATAGCTATATATATATATACATGCAGGGATTCGTACATTGGTTTATCGGGATTTCCAAGGTTTGAGATTCTAGTGTCCCATATATATATATACACACAATGGTGTTCTTGCCTCAGAGAACATTTGCGCGCACACACACACACAGACATGTCCACATCTGAGCACGCATGCCGACCTAAGCATGTGTATATTTGTTGGGTTCGTAAACAATTAACATTTACATAAAGTTGATTATCATCCACTCCATATAATTACTATCAGAAACCCCTGAAACCTCAAGACAGCACAAGCGGCCGGATCTTCTGCTCGCTGGCCGTGGCACGCGAGCACCTGGGAAGTTGCTAAATGAGAAAGAACTTGGCGATGGCAGCAATCGCAACTGCAATGAAAGCTAAATGGACCCCGAAACAGCTTATTGGCGACTTGCACGACAGATAAGGTCATGGCTGGAAGGTAGCATGGCGAATGTGGGATTCGGCTTTCTTCCATAACCTTGGAATGAACGAGCTGCGACAGATTAAGGGCCTCTGTATACCATATATAGGGTTTAGGGCTCAAGGTTCAGAGGGTTAGAACCTTGGAATGAACGAGCCATCACGGTTTAGGGGCTTTTGTATAGGGTTTAGGGCTGAAGGTTCAGAGGGTCAACATGAGGCCTGTATATTAAGGGCTTGGAAACAAATAAACAGATGCGTGTGTGTATATGGATATATATGTCTACTTGTACTTTTTTAGTTGTGGTTACTGCAAAGGTATACTTCTTTCAAAAAATACTAAAACAAGGATTGTTATGTGTACCTGGTAGATACCTTAAACCCTAGATTTATAGGTAACATGTATGCATGTACATATATACTCATATGTATATATATATATACAGATACATACACCTGTGCATACATATATACAAACACACCCACATATATATATATACATACATATACACATATACATACACATATACATACATATACATATATGTGCACATATATACACATATATGTACATGTATACATACATACATGCATGCGTGCATACATATATACATACATATATATATATATACATACATACGCAAACATACATACATACATACATACATACATGCATATACACATATACATACATATATATATATATACGTATATGATGTAAACCTCGAATAAGGTCCCAGCCCATTACAAAGTAAATAACTATATTATGGACACGTATGTCAGCTAAGGCAAGCGGCTCCTCGGACCAACCACCCTGCAAACTACTGGAGATGTGCAGCTCGTTGCCCTTGTCATGCAACTCGTCCATGCAATTGATGTCCTTCTCCAAGGTTTCGATGGCCCTAGGCTATGCAGATGCGGCTTAATTTTGGTTATGATCCTGTATAGTTAATGTTCGGCACACATTGGGAATACTCAGCTGTTTGCTTCGCTACGTCTGCATTGTTCACGTCGTAGCCTGTCTTGAGCTCTTTAGCCAAACTCTTCGTCTTCTTCACCTTCTGCAAGATCGAATCATTCAGCTTCTTGAGCGCTTCTTCCGTCTGCAGGGATGAAGTGGTTGCAAGCGGAGGGAATCTAGCCTGTCTATATAGGCAAGGCAAGAGAATTCTAGAGTACCGAACATTTTGCAACACCCGACCCGCTTGAACTTATCATCCTCGAGCTTCTCCTCTACTGCCTTTTTCTGAGCAGCAAGAAGCCGGTTCTGCATAGGCTCCAGACCCTTGAAGCAGCCCTCCGGCAGGACCGGCGCATCATCTTTCGCCTCCCGGAGACAGTATATATAGGGTTTATAGGGTTTCGGGTTTAGGGTTTATAGGGTTTGGGGTTTATAGGGTTTATATATATATATATAGGGTTTAGGGTTTAGGGTTTATATATATATATAGGGTTTAGGGACCAGGTTTATGGCAAGGGAGGGAGGTCTTGTCGGCATCAGAAGGACAGTTCAAGGCGTAGCAAAATGCGTTCGTAGATACGTCTTAGGGTTGATTAAAGGGTTAAGGTTTGAGGGCTGGTATATATACCCCCAGGTATGTATATATATATATATGTATATATATATATGTATATATATGTATATATATGTCTTTACATATATGGGGTTTAAGGGATACATCCTATAGAGACATACATACACATATGAAAAAAAAAATATATATATATATTATGTACTGTATAGATATGGAAGGTTTAAGGGTTTAGGTATGCATATATATATATAGGGTTTACATGTAGGGGCATAAAAGCCTGCTTGCCTGCAAAGATCGGTGCTTCTCTTCATGAGAGATCTGCTCCTTGCGAGTGCCCTTCTCCCGCAGGGTGACCCAGTACTCCTTCTCACTGTCGTACACGTTCAACCTAGGAAGGTCATTGGGAGAGCGACAGAGCGCTAGATAAAATCCATTCTTCGGAATAATGGATAATGCATCAAGTGGGGCTCGTACCGGACGTGAGTGTCCGGGACAGACTCGCAGTACTTTACGGCAGCCAGGGCCCTCTTCCTCAGTTAAAGCCCCACATTTATCAAAAAGCCTCAGCCTCGTGATCGCCTGCACTTGCAAAACATACATCAAGGTCTGTTGGGGACAGGGCTGGGACCACTTCAGCTCATTGATCATTTCATCATTCGTGTACCAGCCCTCGTCTACGGTCATGGTGTACTTCTGCTTCTTGGAGATGATAACCTCCAGCTGATTGATGAACTTTGCCTGCCACGGAAAGAGCAGGCGTTGGGGTTGCAGGCAAGGTAGAGGGTAGAGGTAGATCTAGATATGGATTGCTCATTCAGGATCATGAATGTATATATATATATAGGCAATAAGATCAGTCGGGCCTTGTCAAAGTTCAAGTTTAACAGCAAGTGGGCCATCTCATCTTTGTTGCCAAACCAATGATTTTTGACAAACTCGGGCACTTCCAGCTCCTTTCTGCGGGTCTTCGGAGCAACCATCCTGCTAATTCGGGCCTTCGCAGCGATGAGCAATCGCTCCTGCCAAGAAGCTAAGCATCCCAACACAACGTACGAGCTACAATCGCAAGAGCAACAATTGTCATGCAATGATGCAACAGGGAAGTCCTGGCGAGTAGGGATCTTTCGAAATCGTTTCGGGAAGGGGTCGGATGCCCGGGCCGGCGTGGCAATGGGACGCTTTGCACCACTACCCTCCTGATCAGAAAGCTTCTCGGGCTTGACACCCAAGGTGCCGGTAAGCCGTGCTTGCAATCTGTCGTCGGCTTCCTGCAAGCCCACTGCATGCTCATCCTCGGTGTTCACTTCAACCTGGGCCACTTGGTGAATTAAGTTCGATAATGAACTGACAAGCGTGCGCTTCACAGGGTAGTCCAGAAAGATTGCAGGGAAGGTTCTGCCATATAGGCATCCTGCTGTAGAGTATTCTTGCCGCCCACTTCGCCACATTCTGCCTCCACACACAAGCCTGCAGCCTGGAGATCCTCTGCAGAAGCCTCAGCACGTAGGCCATTCATATAAGCCCTTTGAACACACAACACACACACACAGACACACACACACACGCACACACACACACAAACACACACCCCACACACACACACAGACACACACTCGCGTGCACACCCACACACACACAAGAGTTCAGCCTACACAGTCTGAGGGACTTGCTGGGAGGGTCTCTTGCAATTCAGCAGGGAGAGCAAGCTCGGGTTCATCAGCAGGGGGTTCGGCTTGCGGCACAGTCTCAACAGGTAGAGCAAGTTGAATCGATGTTTCACCAGAACCAGTATCCTCGCAGGAATAAGGCTTTTGTAGATGTCGTGTAGCCTACTAGGATGGTTTGATTTCATGAACTAGCACCTGTAAGCCAATCCGAGGCAAGCCTCGGCAGCCCCGGCAGCATCGCGAGCTTCCTGTTCAAGCACCTCGCCCCAGGATGGAAGTGGACTTATGTGTGCATATTTAAGGGCTTACATACCCTTAATTTTTGGAAAGGTTAGGAGCTTACTTTGGGGCAGAGGGGTTGCCATGTTTTGCGTGGGTTAAGGGTTTCGTGTATATAGTTGTACATAGCTTAAAATTCAAGGGCTGAGCGGCGATATAAAGGCTTTCTATTATGTGTGTGTATATATATTTTTTAGGGTATATATATATATATGTGTGTGTGTGTGTAGAGGGATAATCTTAAAGGCCTATATCAGGTGAGGTAGCGTTTAGGTTCGTCTGGACTTAAGGCGCTCTATTTGGGGACGAAAGCACCCTTGACAAAGATCAAAGTCCCAAGCAGAAGCCTCTCCCAGGAACTCTGATCGGGATTTCGTTAGCTTGATATTGTAGCAACTCACGACAAGTAGCCTGGATCTCACGAAGAAGCTGGGCCTCCTCATGATCTAGAATCTCCTTCTTAGCATCTCGTAGGACATGCTGGATTCCATCATCAAGAGTCGAGCAACTCCAACACTTCGATTGGACCGGCACCCCAGCCATTCTGCAAATGCCTCTAAGAGGCTCTAAGAAAGGCAGGCCAGAACAAAAAAACCTATCATAGAAGCCGACCCAGCCGAACACGTAAATCACTCATGGAATGAAACAACATGGTTGCACTCAAGACTGTCTCCAGATCTGAAGGACTTTTGTCCGGAACTGCAGCAGTAGTAGCACCTGGAAATGGTCGCTCCGAGCTGTGTGGAGAGCGGCACACAGCTGCACTATATATGGAAATGGACGTGTCTGCGGCACGCGTCTATCCTGGGTGGCTATAACCCATAAATCATTTACGGGTGTTTACGGGTTGCACACGGGTTAATTATGGGTTACACACGGGTTGAGGAAAACCGGGTTTTTCGAACTCATGGGTTGATTTTTGGGTTATTATGGGTTGTTTTTGGGTTACTCGTGGGTTAATTTTGGGTTATTGCGGGTTCGGGGCCGCTAGCCTAGTTTTCTGGGTCTTTTGTCCCTTGAAAACCAGGTAAAATTGCTACTTAAACCAATATAGCAGACCGTCCCGCAGGCTTTTCCGCAGAATGGCGCAACCTGCTTTCGAAGCTAAAGACAGTCCCGCAGGCAATCTAATTATGTGTACGGAACCCAGGAGCCCTTTCAGAGTCCATTCCGCAGCCCACCTAGCCCGTACAATTCCGCAGCCCTTCTACCCCCAAGAATCCCACAGTCCATCCCGCAAGCCCTGTATTCAAGCCTCAATACGAACAGGCTGATCCCGCAACCCATCCTAATTCACCAAAGGGCACCTCGAAGGCCACAGGCTTTATGGGTTTGTTTTGGGCTTTTGGGGTTTTAGGGTTTTAGGGCTTTGGGGTCTATATTTATATAAAGTTTTATAGGGTGTCAAGAAACGACCCAGACCTATATGGAAAGTGAACCGGATCTCTGTACACAGTCCCGACTCCCCCTCTAGAAGGTTCCTCAGCCCAGTCCTACAATTACAATATATAAAGACTACCCGGAAGTCTTATGGCCACACGGCATTACATTTCATAAGGTTTCAGCGAAGTCGCTTAAGAAGTGCTATATAAAAACAACAATTGTAATAGCTTGCCATGCAGTAACATAGAAAAATACAAAACTATATACAATGGCCCAGCCCAGACTCACCTCACCTACTGTGCAAGCATATACTAGATAAACCCCATGCATGCAGGTCTTGCTACTCAGACTGCAGGATTACCTAGTTCCCAATACAAACCTACACCGAAGAGGCCCTGTAGCATATATACGGTATATAGAAATAGAAGCTATAATGCATCCCTCAGGCCGTATGACCAGGTCTATAGTCAGTTTAGGGTTTAGGGGTTTAGGGGTTTAGGGGTTTAGGGTTTATAGGGTGTAGGGTCACTGAGGCCCACTTTCCAAGCCAAATCTGAAATTGCCTTTCTATATTGCAAGACAAGCGAAGCCTCCCGAGGAGCACCCGAAGCTAAGCCCAAGTATTATAGGGTATTTCTCACATCTAGCATAGCCAACTAATAAATGAAACCATTATATTGTGAAAGCTCGACGACCCTCAAGAAACTTCCGAATCTCCTTTAAGGCTCTTGGACACCCCCTGCCGGGCCATTGCCGGGACTGTCACGAAGACTATGAGCATGCGAAGGCAATCCTGATGAGTTCGTTCCGTGGCTGAAATGCGTCTTGTATGTTCGTGGGTCCTTGTAGCATAAACAGCTAAAGTAGTATATAGTTGTTTGTATATAGTAGTAGTAGTAGTAGTAGTAGTAGAAGTAGTACAGTAGTAGCAGCAGCAGCAGCAG